TGTTACCCTACCCCCCCGGCTAGGACGCTGTAATTTGATCAGATGGGACGGAGACATTGAATGCATGAGAGGTCCGCCGTTCAAAGCAACTCGACGGGGTTTTGTGGACCGTAGCGGCTGTCAGTTGGAAGTCTTTCCAGATTGTTATGAGATAATGAGCTGGCTGCAGTTCGCCCAGTCATTGGACTTGAGCAGTGAGCGGGACATTGGCATTTTGTTGCAGGCACTCCCATGCCAGGGATTATTTTCGGACATCGCGGCGAAATGGACGTCGGACGCAGAGAAGAAGGGCAAGAGAGCACCGCGGGGCAAAGTAAGTAGTGCAGCGGTTAATGCGGCACCGCTGGAGGAGGAACTGGCTGCAGTGGAAACGTCTGCAAGTGCCGTCTCTACCCTCAGTTCCAGCGTTTCCACCGCTCCAACTGCCCCAACCATTCCGGAAACACTGGAGTTTGGCACCACGGCACGCCGAGCCCGCGGGGTCTACATGCAGGTAGGTTGGGCGTCTCGTCCTTTCGTGACTACTTGGTCGCCAGAGGCTCTGGGCATATTGCCTTTGAAACGAAGTAATGCAATCCTCGGTAAAGGAGGTTCATTTCGGACGGTCGCACGGTACAGCGAGATTTACCCCGGGGATAAGACTACCCATTTAACTCGTATCTCTCGTGCAGCAAAGTGCAACCCCAATGAGATGGTCTTTTACGACAACGAAAGAAGAAACATCGACAGCGCAGAAGCCCTCCAGGTCCTCGCCGTCTACACGCCAAGAGGTCTTACTTGGAACAACTTCCTTGAAGGCCTCTTCAGGTACAACGGCCACTCCTAAACATCACACTTGAATGAGTCAGCCCGTCCGTAACCCGTCCATGAAAATGAACCCAAGACAGAATGAATCTATCTTTTACACCTGTATGGGTTACACGACCGTGTGGGTTACACGACCGTATGGGTTACACGACCGTATGGGTTACACGACCGTATGGGTTACACGACCGTATGGGTTACACGACCGTATGGGTTACACGACCGTGTGCCGTTCCACTTAGAGGAGCCCGAATGACAATACAATAAATGTTGTTGCATAAGCAAGTAACCAGTACATGAGAAGCCAGTAGGCAAGCAGGTTAGTTTGTCAACCAGTCCACATGAATGACTCCGTGATGGTGACTTCCGGAGGAGGAGGAGTCGGCGCGACAGGAGCTGGAGTGGGTTTCACTCGAGGCGTCGGTGGTTTGGTGATGACTGGAATCTGTTCGTGCTTGGTTTCCACGATTGGTGGCGTTAGCGAGATTGTTGATTCCGACACGGAGGAGGATATTTCCGAGCTTTCTTCCCTCTCTGGTTCGCAATATGGACAAGGCTGCTCTGGATCGGGAATTCCATAAGGGTAGGAGACCCAGGAAAGGCAGCTGACGTACATTGACGCAGGGTCTATGGGGGTGAAAACATTCCCCTTTTGGGACTTTTGGAAAGTCAATGGGTGCAAAGTTTTGTCTAAGCAAATAGTCGTTGCTTTCTCACGCCATTGGCGACAAGTTATTGGGGCGGTCACACGTTATGGATATGGGGGAACATGGTGAAGGTGCAACGGGTCGTACAGTCATATCGTGGAGGTTCCAGCTGAACAAAGTCATTCTGTATGTCGACTCGCGCTGGGGGAACTAGACCAGTAAGGTAGTCAGCAGGGTACCCTGGCAGTCGGGTGGGGAACTGGTCTGGTCGGTCAAGGCGTTCTTGTTCCGTGGAGGACATGTGCATGCAAAAATAATGAAGCTCATCGGTATCATCATTAGTAAATGCTACCCCAAAGAGACTAGACCTATTTTCCTCTGCACAACGCACGACGTCTCTTCGTAAACGCCACTCCCGACTTGCGTTGGGCCACGATCCCTGGATCCTGGGGCTGCCAACACTCTGGCATTGTGTTCACTGAGGTGTGAGCACACGTGTGTGTATCAACAGAATTGTGCACACGAATTGTGCACACGAATTGTTCACACGCAGTAGTATAGACACATATACTGTCGCCTGTTGCGGACAGGGTGTTACGGAGTATTTTCAGGTTCTCGTTTACTTACCGAAATGCCGTCAAGGATGTCTCCAAGTTCTTGACTCGAGAAATCATTCCGCGGTTGAAGGTGGGTCAGCGAGAAGTGATCGGGCACGAGGACTACAAGTTCTGCGCCATGCGCTGGTCCGATGGGTTGGCCGTAGCGATGCTAACGGACAAGGACTACCCACCGCGCGTCGCCTTTCAATGCCTTACTAAAGTGCACCATGACTTCAAATCAAAGGTGCCCGAACAGTTCTACAAGGCAGTCACGGACGACGGAGCGGCGGCCAGCTACAAAGATGTGCTCCGGGAGTTCCTCAAAGAGTTCAAAGACCCTTCCAAGTTTGATGCCGTCACCAGCACCCAACAAAAAGTAGACGAAAGCAAAGTAAGTGCTGCTGGCAACCGTAACCCTCCAGGTGGTGACTAGTCCAGTAACCGTAGTGGCGATTGGTGCGTGCTTGTAGAAAATTGTACAGAGGAGATTGGACGACGTGTTAGACAACATGCAGAACCTGGACAAGCTAGTTGAGCAGAGCGATGACCTGTCAACAAATACTCAGGTCATGTTTAAGACGGCGAAGAAAATGAAAAAGGGCTGCTGTAAGGTGACCTAGCAAAGGTGACCTAGCAAAGGTGACCTAGCAAAGGCGACCCAGCAAAGACGACCCAGCAAAGGCGACCCAGCAAAGGGGACCCAGCAAAGGTGACCAGAAGAAGTTATTTATATGCCTTGGAGCATGGCCGTTCGTTCTTTTATTCAGGCCCATCACTGTTGATTGCAAGTCAGTAGGTTGGGCGACCGGGACCTACTCTTCTGGGGGCCACGGTTTTGTCGACCTGGGACGGAGTGGGTTTGGTGATTATCCATTCTCGGAGTCGCTTTTTGTATTTAAGCCAGTCGAGCGCCGTTTTTCGGGATCGCGCCCTTCCCTCGGGGTCGAGTTCTTTTTTTGGGATCGAGCGCCGTCCCTCGGGATCAAGCACCTTCTGTTGGGGGTCCAGCACCTTCCCTCGGCATCGAGCGCCGTCCCTCAGGACCGAGCACCGTCCCTCTGGTGGCGCCCAACCCGTGGACACCGGTACAACCCCCCCTCCTCCACCTCCACCTCCACCACACCAGCTACCTCGACAGCAGCTACTTTCGCCAAGACTATCCCCCTCTGGCATTCATTCTCCTCAACGTCTTGGAATGCAGGCAACGGTCTCCTCCAAGCAGTGGAGCTCACTGCTTTGAAGTCCGTTTCGAATATGAGCCATTTCGAATATGAGCTGATGCCTCACAGCTAGACTGCGTGGCTGCTCCTGAATGGTGGGATACCCGTCGCGTCCTCCGGTATCACACCTTCTTCTTTGAGCCTTTTTGCGATACAACTCTTCTGCAATATAACTCTTCGTATGGGATCGGATGCGGCTCCTCCCATCCAACGGGATCGGATGTGGCTGCTCCCATCCAACGAGCTCGGACGGGTTCCTCCATGCCGCCAGCAACCTTGTCGTTGATGGCCACATTACAGTGTACATTCTGTTGCGCGTTTCCTGGTCAGCCGTGGCTCGTAATCTTCTTGGCGGATTTCAACGCTCGAACAACCTTCGCAAACTCCTCCTTATATTCTGCGTTTACGACGATCACTGGGTTTGAAGGATACCAATTTTTTTCCGCACCGAACTGCATCTGGAATTTGGACATCTGTCCTGAGCCAGCCTTCATTCTGGCGTTTGTTTCTTCCAGCCATTTTTGAAACTAAGAGGGATCCATATCGGGCGGGATCCATGTGGGGATCCATATGGGGAAAGTGTAGTGTCAAATAATAGTGTCAAATAATAGGGTCAAATGTTAGGACAGTGTTACAATGCTGGGAAGCGGTAGCAAGGAAAGTTACCTCAGCGGAACTGCTTGTCGAGGGCCCCGGAGTGCTGCATATGAGATGACCCGAAGATTTGGCGCGGTATATCAATTGAGGGAAGAGCTGTAGTTCTGAAGAGTCTGATAGTTCGAAGATAACGGCATTGGTTTGGGACACAGCGCTCAGTTGGTCTTCCCATAGGATCAGTTGGTTGTGAACGTTCTCAGGCAACGATACCATTTTCGGAGCGGTGCGATCCTGGCTGAGGAATTTGTTAACCACCAGAGGATGCGCATGCGAGGACAGGAACTTGATTATCTGTTCAGCTTTGAGTCCTTCCATGAGCCGCCTGGTCGCGCTCTCTCTGGTCAGCATTGCAACGACCAAGATCGGAGTAACCATTTTCACGTCGCATATCGACGCAATAATACAGGCCTGCAGAGCATCCGGGTAATAACAGAAAACACGGAAATTGCTTTCCACTATAACGCCCTTCTTCTTCGGAGTAGTGGCCTTAATATCCGAACCACTGGTACCCAGTCCACTGGTACCCAGTCCACTGGTACCCAGTCCACTGGTACCCAGTCCACTGGTACCCAGTCCACTGGAAACGGAGGTGAATGCGGTGGTACCGGTAGCGCTGATGGCGCTGGACCTGGGTTCACTGACAGCAGTGGCGTTGGCGATGCGTTGTTCCTCTTCCGCCTTGACCATTTGGATATGCATTTCCTGGAGCGGGTCGGAGGGCAAGGTCCAGAGGAACTCAAGTGAGTTGGCGGAGTCCTGGAACAGGGAAGGAGAGCAGCAGGCGCTATATCTTTGCCGGGGGAGTGCGAGAGTTCGGCTTTGGATAGGTGTGTGTTGAAGGGAGTCTGCGCCGTAGAGTTGTGATAGTAGCCAGAGTTCAGAGCCATTGGTGGCGGGATTTATAGCGAACACGCGTGCGAGGGGACAGGGTACGACGCTACGGTAGCTGCGGCCTTGGAGAGTGACCGCTGCGGAGTAGATAAGGCCGATGTCGTGAAGTGCGCTCACAAAGTCGTTCACGAAAGGCGGTGCGTCCTCGCTTACGAGTATAGGTTCGCCAATCTTGTTCGCAGCCACCTGTGCCAACAAGACCATTAGAGGCACGTCACCCGACAGAAAGCCGGTCGCGCTCATGGTGCCCACACCGCCGCCCGCACCACCGCCTGAGGTCCTGGCGGCGATGGCGGGAACTTCGACGGAAACATGTTGGCCAAGTGCGAGTTGGGTGAGAGCGCCCATTACAATGTCATCCACTTGGGTAGGGAGGTCGGAAAGGAACCAACGGACGTCAGAAGCAGCGGCTTCTTCCCCAATTTGGATCCCGGCGAATCGCTGCACTTGTTCATGTGCGAGTCCCGCACTAATCATAATATTCCGCAGTAGGTCACCCGGAGGCGGGACTTGAACGATGGGAAAGTAGCGCAGCACGGGACTCTGCGTCGCACTCTGCTTAAACGCCCATAACAACATTCCCGCCCATTTGTGCCGACTGAAACTCTCGAGAGAGGCCGCGTCTGGCCCTGTCGCCAGGTGTTTGGCTTCCTCCAGACTTGGCAGCCGCAACCACCGGAACGTTGGATGTGCCAGCACACGCTTGTCCGATACGAGCCACAGGTATGACTGCCGGAACTGCGGGTGGACCTCGTACCGAATGCGTCCTGCGTCGTTCTTACCCGCCACTTGACTCGTTCCTAATTGACTTCCGCCCACGTTGGAACCACCAGAACCAGCCATATTAGAACCGCCTAAACTTGAACCTCCCACATTGGAACCAGGACCACCAGCGCCAGGACCACCAGCGCCAGGACCACCAGCGCCAGGCCCACTGGTGACACTCAGGTTGGAACGCGTCAGGCCCCCCGGCCGACTCAGGCGACTCACTTGGCTTTGGGTCGCCGCGCTGGTGTGACTCCCCGCAACCACCGGACCCGGCCCATTGCTGCCTGTACCACCCGACGCACGACTGACTGCCGCCAGACCACCGGAACGCTTCTTAATGCCCGGCGCCGCTGGCGGTGGAGGGGCTTGCACTCGTCCTCCGGGTCGTACGGGTGCCTGTGCGGGCTGTGCAAGGTCGACGACCTTGACCACCTTAAGCTGTCGACACTGCGTCAATGCAGTACGTAAAATCTGGGTACGCTGCGCCCCCAGCGACGTCTTGAACCACACCATTAATGGCTCCCATCGTGACGGGTCGCTGATAGTTGTCATTCGCGATACCAAACACTGTGACTCTGGAGTCAACGCCGTTAACACAAACTTCACGATGGCTGGTGTCCCGAACATCGCCCCAATCACCAGGTCCTGACTCGTCCCCGAAAGCACCTTCTTTATGTGTCTTACAATCGGAGCGTCCATTTTTCAATTTTAATTTCGACGGATCGATCGATGACCAAAGCACTCAATTCTCTCCTCGTGCTCTCTGTAAGACACTGTTCCTACCCACACAGATCTACAGGCCAGATCCAGAGCTAGGGCAGGACGCTCGTTCCTCCTCTGGCACCACCCACACCAACTCGGAACCGCAGCCGCCGCTGGTACCGCCAACCGCGGTGGTGCCACTGGATCTGCTCCACGGCCGCAGTATCTGGGCTGCTCACGGGCCCTGGCTTCGCGGGCCCTGGGTTCGAATGCTGTTCCAGCCGTGATAAGAAATCTGACCCAGCCATCAAGGTTATCGGAAAGATGCAAAGGCGGTATTGTGCTTTCAGGCTGCCTTCGTTACTGGGCAACAAGGTCTGAGCGGGGCGGAGTTCGGTCCTGTGCCGGTCTCCACACAAGGAGTGTTGCCGCCTGCGTTATTGGCGGAGCAGATTCCGTCGTCGCCCATTGTACCTGAGGGTCCCATAGCCCCCGAGGAAGTGGTGATTGACGGAGAGGTGTTCGAGGAGAGTGAGGACCTGTTGCAGCGCGGCAGTGCGGCCCTCGAAGCGCCGTTCAACGCGTTGGCTGACTTGGTCGTGAGCGGCGTCCGCGACTTACAGGGCAAGGGCGACGTACGTGGGGCCGCGGAACCCGCCACCTACACCATGATCGAAACTGAACGACGTCACCTTTTCATGTGGACCGGTATCCTACTTACCATCACCACGTACATGGGCGTAATGGCCTTCTTCAACATGCCCCTCGTAAGCCTCCGTCCATACACTTCCAGCCCCCCGCCCGCACTCGCGTCTGTAGAACGAAGCACACGTGCGTTCTGTTTAGAAAAAGGATCCGTTGTTGTACACCAAGTTTTACAGCTCGGGCACTCACTAGGTCGTCTCAGCTCAAGCTCTAGCACTATTGATTCTGGCGCTCAGTGGTGGGCGCTCAGTGGTAGTTCGACTGGTTTCTTGGACTTGTCGCCCCGACTGGTCCTCGGTTACTAGCTACTGGTGGCTTCCGCCAAGACGCACTAATACATTGCCTTCCTGATCGCGCCACAGCTGTAAGACATCTGGCTTGCAGTGTCTCATTATGAGCCTATAAAGAGAGCGGTTAACCTTACGTATACGAGCACCCATTTTTGCCGACAGACGTGTGCCTGTAAGATTGTGTGCAGACTCGCGTGTGCAGAGTCTTGAATCCCGTGTAGGTCGTCCCAGATTGGATTTGGTGTAGGTTGTGTCTGGTGTAGGTTGTGTCTGGTGTGAGTCGGGTGGGTGCGGTGACCTACTCGACAATGCCTTTATAGCCGAACGCTTCGTAATTGAGGATGACTCCGGTCCTTCTACTGAGTTCGTCGCAGGCCTGCATCAAGGGGAAACCTTCGTTACGGTCGGGGTCTTCGCCGAGTTGGTATTGTTGAATCTCGCGGACGATGGCAACCAATCCCTCGACGATAAGGTCCTGCGGAAGGACATCGGTGGGCTGACCGGACCCGGGACCGGCGCCAGCCGGACCCGGAGGGTTCCGGGCTAAGGAAGGTCCCGGGGCGGGGGTTGTGGCAGGTCGCTTAGGTTTAGGGTGAACGACTCGCGGAGCGACGATTTTGGGTGGCGGGCAATTGCTGTTAGGTGGTGGTCCATTTGCACTGGGTTTTGGAACGGAGCTTCCCATGGCTTCTTTGAGGGTGGCGAGCGAGGTGTCTGGTGGCAGTAGCGGTCGTAGCAGGTAGTCATCATTGGGATCGGCCATGTGTCCAGGGCCAAGCACGGCGCCGGTTGAGCGGCTTTGAAGCTGAATGATGGCGGTCAGCATCGACAGCGAGCGATTCACGTTCCCGCAACCCAACATCGTGAAGCGGCTGTCAATTGGCCAACCGTAGAACTCTTCGTAGGTTTCCAGCAACCGCGAGCTGCTCACTGGCCCGTCGGCGCCGTGGAGCAACAGGTGGATGGAGTAGAAACACTCGAGCGGATTTGATGGAGGTAACGCCATTTTCAGAGGTGCGGCGCCGTAGCCGGCGCCGGCGGCCGGGTATCGGGTAGTTGCCTGTCCCGGACCTGGACCCTGACCTGGACCCTGACCCGGACCGGGATAGCCGTGAGTGGGGGCGTTGTAGTCCGGGTAAGGGTTGGGGCCTGGGCCTGCGTTGCTGTAATCAGGGCCGGGGTGGTAGGGGTTGTTGGCTGGGGGGTAGTCAGCACCGGGATAGGGCTTTTGTTGCAGCCCCAGACCGAAGTCCATGCTGTTGGGGGTGGTACCGGCTCGGGCGAAGGCTTCCGCGATGATGCTCGCTAGGACCTCGCGCAATTGACGAAGTTGCTCCGGCTGGTCATACTTCACAAATAGGTGCAACGGGTCGGCGGAACCCGGCGTGCCAGGTGAGGAGATGCCCACGCCCCGGAGCTGCACACAACACCCCGACTCGTCCTGCAGCCGCGCGTGGTTGTGACCTTTGGATCCAATGATCAATGCGGCCGGCTTTATATTCGGTGGGAACTCAATTCCCGAGATGGGGATCTGCGTGCAATGCTTCCACGGCTTCTACAATACAAAGCGCTCAGAACACACGTCAGCGGGAGCAGGGGGAGGGCATAGGGGACACAGCAGGGGGGAAACAGCAGAGGGGAGGGGAGGGGGGTAGGCTATACATCTTCCTTGCTTCTCGGGTTTCTGCCCGCTGACCCTTGGGACGAATCCGCACGGCCGCGGCGATCCTTCCTCTGCATTATAGTTGGCTGCGATATGCGGCCAAATAAAACTGAAGCAGGCCGTGAGGGGGAGATGGTGGTTGGTACTGGCGGGAGGAGGGAGGAGGGATAGGAAGGGCGTGGAGAATTGTTGCTGAAAGAGGGGTAAGTCACGAGAGCAGCATCTTGGACACTGAGAGGTGAGGAAGAAAAATAGTTCGTTGTTGTTTGCGAGACCGAGTGGTCGTTGCAGCTTCGGGGAGGCGCTGTCTGGTAGTCATGGTCGTGGGCAGTGGTGACGAAAAATTTGCTGAGTAGACAAGACAGAGGGGGGGATCCTGGGGGCCAGAATGGCGGGCGCATTTTTAAGGGAGGCCTTCTTTGCAACCACGGCCATGGCATTGGACAGTTATATATCGTCGTCAGAGTCTTCCGCGGGCGAAGAGGAGTCATACAGCAGTAGTGGTAGCAGCGGGAGCTACAGTTCGTCGGAGGGCTCGTCGGAGGGCTCGTCTTCCTCGGATGGCTCTTACAGTTCGAGTGATGACGGGAGCGAAATGAGTTCGAACGAGGATAGCTCTTCCTCCGCTGAGAGCGACGAGGACAGCTCTTCCTCGGGCGGTGAGGACGACGAGGACCTGGATTTCGAAGCGAAGCACGCGCGTGCGCTGAAAAAATGGGGCATTAGCGAGGTGGCTACGAGCGAGAAAAAGGACAAGCGAGAGAAGCAGGGGCCGAAGGAGCCCAAGCGTGTCTCCAAGACGGTGGCGGAGAAGGATGCAGAACGCGAGGCGGCCAAGAAGTCGTGGCGCGATGAAATCGAGCACTTGCCGGAAGAAGCGATTTTGAGTTTACTTCAGGAATTAACGCAGCAGCGCGTGAAACGTTCTAGCGAACGCAGCGAGCAGCAGGATATGCTGCGAGAGGCGGCAAACGTAGCACGGCAGCGACAGATGCCCCGGTTGTTGATAGAGTCCTTGCGGGGTGTGGTAGGTGCTGCGTTGGAGCACAGTGCGTCTATGACATTGAGTGCTCCGATGTGGCGTCGTACAGCGGAGGACGTGATGGAGTTGTATGTTGAATTGTGTCAGCATCAAGACATCACTTTCATTACGAATGAGGGTTCGCCGGCCGCGGCAATTGCGGGTTTCGTGGATCGATTGCAGTCGTCTTTGTTTAAGAACATACGCAATGGTGACAGCGCGAGCGAACAGTTGCTACCGGACCTACAGCGTCTGTTGGTTGTGGCTCATGCCTATTTGGTGAATGCCGAAGCTGAATTCGCGATTACTGGTCGTGCTCTTGAGAGCATTATAGCGCACACTTATTATATGGAGAACGAGATTGCAGCCAATCGATGGCGGGTTGTGCTTGAGGGTGTACCGGCGGTGATTAAGAAGTACCTTGTTCTTACTTTCGATGGTAAAGCTAATAACACCGAATGGATAAAACGTGCGGCGCACGAGATTCTGCGTATGAGACTTCAGGACGCGAAAATTGGATTTTACGCGACGTGTTACTTCATTCAAAATCGCGCGATTAATGGCTACGTTGAGGAAGCGCGCGATGTGTTGGCGAACACGCCTCTTTTCGAATTAGCTCAGACGCTCGATGTGGCGCAACAAATTCAGTATAACCGCGCTATTTGTCAAGTGGGTCTGGCCGCTTTTCGACAAGGAAACGCAGCTCTGGCGGCGCCATTTTTGAATGAGATTTGCGCCAATGGTAAACACCGAGAATTGCTCGCTCAAGGTGTGGCCATTGTAAAGGGTTTCGAGAAATCACCGGAGCAAGAGAAGTCAGAGAAGCGCAGACTATTACCCTCATATCTTCACATCAATCTGGATTTAATTGAATCCGCTTTTAACATCTGCAGCATGCTTGTGGAAGTACCCTATCTTCGCATGGACCTAAGACCTGGCGCGGAGAAACACACCGGAAGCAAGTCACTTCGGTTCAGAAGAATACTTGAGTACACGGAAAAGTCCTGCGTCCCACCTGAGACGAATCGTGAGATTGTGTTTGCGTGTGCCCGTAGTCTCCTTGTTGGTGATGATGAAAAGGCCATCGAACTCTTCAAAAGCCTCAAATTCTGGGCAACCTATCCATACCGAGAAGAAGTTCAGACTAAACTCATTCAAAAATTTAGAGAAATTGCCCTCACTTGCTATGTACAAAAGTACGCTAGTATATACAGCTCCATGTCAGCCAATGACCTCAGCGAGCTGTTCGAACTGCCCGCCAGTGAAGTCTATGCACAAATCTCTAGGATGATCCTCCGCAAGGAACTCAACGCATCCTGGGATGGCTCCGGAGACATTCTATATATCCAGGAAAGTGTGTGCACACCATTACAATCGTTGACACTTAATATGCTCAAACCGCTGGAAACTCTATTTGAAAGCAACCAACAAGCTCTTGCCATCAGGAAATAATTTTTTGACCACCTTGTTGCCTGGTTTCTCCCTTTGCCAGTTTGCTGGTTGATATTTTTTTCCATGTGAATGAAATCCAACCGGCGTGATATTTTGCAACATCCTGAGTGTTATAGCAGTCATCAGGATGTCGTCGACTGGAATTTTGTAAAGGACCAAGTCGCCCCATGGCCAGAACTGAGACAACAGTTGGACGATGTCCTGGACTCCAGTAATGTTGTCAACTATAGGCGCCATGACTGCTCCTATATATTGACGCAGGCGACTCTGAGGGCCTACTATGGTGTGGATTGGTCCCTGCCCCAGGACACAGACTATCTGGTTCCCGGGGTGCCCGGTAGACTGAGTTATGTGCAGTGTGTCGTCGACATTCTCCTCAGGTTGAGAAACGGCTTGGCACTCCGCGGTGTACAGGAAACCCATAATTTAGGGGAAGAGAATCCGGGCTCGGAGGTTGTAACGGAATTCGGGATGCCGCGGCAGTCTCTGAGGAAGCGTCCACACCCGAACGATTTCAATATGAAACGGTTCAAAGCTGGGTCGGTGGACGCTGCGGGGTCGGTGGACGCTGCGGGGTCGGTGGACGCTGCGGGGTCGGTGGACGCTGCGGGGTCGGTGGACGCTGCGGGGTCGGTGGACGCTGCGGGGTCGGTGGACGCTGCGGAGTCGGCGGGGGTTGAGCGTGTTGGAGTGGTTGAGCGTGTTGGAGTGGTTGAGCGTGTTGGAGTTCTTTTGGATGTACGACGCCGTGAATTATATAGGACATACTTGAGTAGCTTACGGTGGTTAGATGTGGGTACGGGGGCTAGTGCAATCTACGCGATCTTGCTTAAGAAGCATTATGACGTAGCAGAAGTGCTGGTGAGTGAGACTGACCTGAGTGCACTGGTGGCAGCTGAGGAACTTTTGAGGCGAAATGACTTGGCGGTGACCAAAGTCAGTCCCACGACTCCACGTAACATCCTCGTCGGCATTCCTCCTGACACGTACGATGCTGTATTATGCAACCCACCCTTCTATCCCGACTTGGACACGGCGCAACAAAAGACTCGACCCGGAATGAGTAGGAATGGTTCTGAAGCCGAACTCGTGTACCATCAAGGGGGCGCTCTGGCCTTCATCAAACGAATGATCAATGAAAGCAAATACCTTCATGAATGCTCCACTGCAAGCTCCACCCACAGCAGTGCTAACACCACCGGAAATGATAGAGCTATCGGAAGTGGTAGTGGTGCCACCGGAAATGGTAATAACGTGGAGAAGCATGGCCTGAAAGAATGCCTGGACGAACACGGTGACGAAGTCTCCAATGACAGAAAGCCTGGTGGTGGGGTAGAATCGATCTGCAGCGAACCGTCCTTCAATGAGTTTGTGGATGCGGAAGGCGAAAGAATAATTGTGAAGACCGGCGACTGGTCCAGAAGACGCCATTCCGGAGGACGGCAGCAGGCCGTTGCCGAAGCGACGAAACCTCCGACCCAAACTGGCCTACACCCGTGTCCCCTGTACACGGCATTGGTTTACTCGAAGGACTTGTTGAAACATCTGGAAGCTTATCTGCATCTGGAGAAGGCACCCTTCCAGCAGACAGTCTGCTTCTGCCCTGGGAAGCAGAGTCGATGGGTCATCGCCTGGCATTGGTAGACCACTCTTAAAGTCCCCAAGACATTGAGAGGATGAAGATATCGACGATGAAGATATCGACGATGAAGGATATCGACGATGAAGGATATCGAGGATGAAGGATATCGAGGATGAAGGATATCGAGGATGAAGGATATCGAGGATGAAGATATCGAGGATGAAGATATCGAGGATGAAGATATCAATTGGATCCAGAGGTGAATGAAGAAGGGTGACGGTCAGGTGGATTAAGAAGTCAGGGTGTGGGGTGGATCCAGAGTGGATCCAGAGTTACGTTGTGGTGAAGTTTCAGGGAGTGATCGCGAGGTTTACTTCTGTTTTTAGTTAATAAATTTTTTGAGGGCAATGGTGAGGCAATCTCGATCGGCTTGTTGCAATGTTCCCCCTAATGAGGAAGACTTGGTGTCGATGGAGAATGAGCATGAGCGTATGAAGAATGAGCGCCGTCACCAGAAGCAGGCCATGATCCCTACCACTTACCCGCTGCCGGAGCCTGTGTCGAGTCGTGCCCGCCGGAGCCAGAAAAGACAGATTGCGGAAACGGAGACGCCCGCAGAGACACCGGAGTACAGTCAGACGTTCACCCCGAGTAGCCAGCGTCCAGACCCGTTGCGCGATTCGATGCGCAATCCATTCGTGGACGAGAAGGCAAGTTTATATCGTTCGAGCCGGGGTAGTCAGGCGCGTTCGAGGAGCGCGGTAAGTGGTGAGAGTCACCGTAAGTCTCTCGCCGATGACTCCTACACCGGCCGGCGGTCGCAGAGCATGACCAAGAAGAGCCACGGCTGTCTCAACATGTGCATGCCAACCAGCTACCCGCAACCAGAGACTAATGGAGCTTCACACCACGGAGTTTCACACGACGGAGTTTCACACCACGGAGTTTCACACGACGGAGCTTCACGAGCCTCCTGTATATCCGACGCTTCACCCAACGTTAACTTCGCCCTCCCCATCAACGAACGTTACGCTAGCCAGTTCACCAACTACTCCAACCAAGCCTTCTTCCATACCGGCGCAGCCGCTGCCACCGCCGGCCTCAACCTCCATGAACTGTCCTCCAACATCACCCACCAAACCTACGACGAACCCGTCACGACGAACGTCCCCACGACCGCACCCGTGTCTGCACCGCCCGCCCCGGTCATTGTGGAAAGCATCCCTCTCGAGAACCTCATGAAGCCTCCCGCCGCGAGTCATGTCAGTCCACTACCGCCTCTGACCACACCCTCGGCCATGCCTATCACCACACCCTCGACCGTCCCTCTGCCCGGGCCTGCGACCTCGCCCGCCCCGGTCATTGTGGAAAGCATCCCCGTCGAAAGCCTCATGAACCGTCCCGCTTCTACCGCCATACGACCAATCCGCCAGGAGTCAGTAATGCTCAAGACCGGTGGCACCACCGCCGCCTACGCCACAGGCAACTCCTACACCGCTCACTCGGACGCTCTCGTCTCGCGTTATAGCTCGCTAAACCCCGCCGTGGGAGCCGCGGGTCTTGGAGGCAGTGGCCTGGGAGGCAGTGGCCTGGGAGGCAGTGGCCTGGGAGGCAGTGGCCTGGGAGGCAGTGGCCTAGGAGGCAGTGGCCTAGGAGGCAGTGGCCTTGGAGGCAGTGGCCTGGGAGGCAGTGGTCTGTTAGGCAGTGGCCTGGGCAGCGGGTTAGGTACGTCGGTGGGCCAGGCGAGCAACGCAGTTGTACCCCCGCTCGCTCAAGACTCGACGCAAATGAATTACGTGACTCAGGATTCCGCGCGCAGTAGCTCTTTACGCAACAACTCTGTTCAAGTCGACTCGATGCATATGGATCCTCCCCGTCCGATTGACTCGGTGCTTGGCTCTCGGAACTCAGAGGACAGTCGGAGACCGGCGGAAGATGAACTGGAGGCCGCTCCACTCGAAGACCCCGCGCCCGAGGAGTCCGTCGAATCGGAAGAACAGTTCGTACCCACGCAGGTACCGCTTATGGACAGCCAGACTATCCAGACTTTCACCCGAGGTCAGGCAGGAGGCCTGGCGGAAAGCCAGGTCTTGAGCCAGCCGGGTAATTACCAGTACCAGCCCACCGGTTATCAGACCACTGGGGGTACCTATCAGACCACTGGGGGTACCTATCAGACCACTGAGAGTACCTATCAGACCACTGGGGGTACCTATCAGACCACTGGGGGTATCAACTACCAGACCACTGGGGGTACCTATCAGACCACTGGGGGTATCAACTATCAGTCTCCGGGTGGTACCTACCAGAATGAACGGACGCTTACTGGGGAGGCGACAGTTGACATCAGCAATACCGCCGATGGGCTATACCCATCCACCGTCCAGCACAATAATTTCTACTCTTCTCTCAAGCCACAAGTGTTCCCCGAAGTCTTCCACGGAGCGAATGACCCCTCCTACAGTCCGCAGAGTTGCGCGAACAACCAAGCTGCCTACACTGATCGGGCCGAGCAAGGCATTAGCCCGGCAATTAACAATAACGAAGCTTCCAATAATAGTCAAGCTACCATCAATGCCAGTAGGGCCAGTGAGAGTACGATTAGCGAATCACCCATCACCTATGAACCTATATACAGCCACCAGCCACTAGATAATAATCAGCCTATGTACAACAGCCAGCCTATGTACAACAGTCAGCCTGTATACAACATCCAGCCTGTATACAACAGCCAGCCTGTATACAGCAGTCAGCCAATTAACAATCAACCTGAGTACACCAACTACCAAACTGGCCACGCTGGGTACTACGATGCCTCAACCAATAACCAAACGAAGGCCAATGTCACCAGGATCAGTGAGACCACGGCTACCTTCTCGCAGCCGACGGTCAACCCGATCTCCATCCCGACCACTCAAATTTTGCACCAGTCCCGCTCGACAGGCCAAACGCCAAACGTCTTCGAAGACCGCAGCGGTGACTTCCGCCCTGGGCCGGCCACAAACGGTTCTCCCCTCTCGCCTAGTGGTTATCACTCACTGGCTCAATCTTCAGTGGTTCAGGCTCCAGCGACTTCTACCACCTACCAGCCGTCAGCTGCCGTTCAGACTTCGCCCGCTACTTACCAGCCATTGACGCAGAACTCTTCCTCTCAGTCGTGGACGCCCGCTTCTACCCCTGAAGTGCCGACCTCGGTCACCACCATTCACACTTCACTGGCCCAGACTTCTGCAGTTCAGGCTCCCACCACATACCTGCCGTTGACCCAAACTTTCGCAGTTCAGGCTCCTGCCACCTCGCCCGTTACATATCAGGCTTTGACGCAGAACTCTTCCTCTCAGGCGTGGACGCCCGCTTCCGTCCCTCAGGTGCCAACCGCGTCCCTTACCACTCATCAGTCACTAGCCCAAACATCTGCAGTTCAGGCTCCAGCGACTTCGACCACTACTTATCAGTCATGGGGCCAAACTTCTGCCGTTCAGGCTCCAGAGACTTCCACCACTACCCACCAGCCGTTGACACAGACTTCTGCAGTTCAGGCTCCAGCGACTTCGACCACTACTTACCAGCCATGGGGCCAAACTTCAGCAGTTCAGGCTCCAGAGGCTTCCACCACTGCCCACCAGCCGTTGACACAGACTTCTGCAGTTCAGGCTCCAGCGACTTCGACCACTACTTATCAGTCATGGGGCCAAACTTCAGCAGTTCAGGCGCCTGTGGCGTCCACCACTACCTACCAACCATCAGCTCAAACTTCTGCCGTTCAGGCTCCAGAGACTTCCACCACTGCCCAC